CACCGGTTTATTTACCCCTCAGCTCTTTCCTTGCAAATCAGCACTTTCCAAACGTGCACGCAATCACGGGTCTAAATTTACTAACTTATCCAAATCAACCGATACCTTCCATTATTGCAAATTTCTTTAGGAAACAAATAATAGATTTTAAGGAAACAAATAAAAGATTTTAAAGACGCATCATACTTTACTAACAATCACTAAAAATCAAATCTAAATTAATTAACCTTACCTTAAATCACTCAATCACTTTAATTAGAAAACATTTTCTTTCCTAACTGCACCCCGCTTAGTGTGCACATAACAATCCGAAGTAATTAGAGTCACAAGATTGAATCCATTTATTTAGAGTGACATGATTGAATTCATTTATTAACAATAATTCTCACCAAAAGTGCGTTTAGCAATTTTAGAGGGCGGACCAAAACTCTGCCATCTACTCGCCCGCGTTTGTTTAGGTACAGGAAAAAATGGCATAATATATGGAAACAACACGACCGGGGCGGCGGCGCAATCTTCGGGGATAGGGGATCGGAGGAGAAGGATTGGCCTGGCAGCATGATCGGGGTGCTTCCCCGCGGCCGCGGCCGTCCTCGCGATGCCACCTACCCGAAATCAACGCTGCTCCCTGCCGTCAGCCGAGGCGACGCCGCCTGCCCTCCTACCCACGGTCCGCTGCCGCGTGCGGCTACGGCGGGAGGAGTAGTGACGGGGCCGAGGTCCTTCATGCGTTCCCGGATGGAGGCCATGATTTCGTCGAGGTCGTTGCTGCCTCCTACACTAAGGGTGTGTCGCCGAGATCGAGGCGAGCATGAGGAGCTGTGGCCACCGCCATGGTCACCCCATCGCAGGGGATGGAGCACGCCGTCGGCCTACAGCTTGTGGAGATCACTGTTGCTCTTCAGGTCGCGTGGTGACCGGATCTTGCCGATGTGTCCCTCCCCGGCGACCTCCTCTTCGCCCGGTTGGACGGCATGGATCTCGCCACTGCTGCCCTCAACTTCTTTGCCTCGAGCTCGACGGTCAGCCACCATGGATCCCCCAGCTGGAGGGTCACGTGAACCAGCCGTCCTCCCATGCTGCAGCGGCGAGAAGGTGACATGGCTCTCCGTACACGAAGAGTGGAGTTCAGTCAAGTACTTATATACTTGGCCTCTACTGCTGATCCATGTACATGGAGAAGAACAGACAACCGCTCATTCATGCTTCGTTCCACTCCTTTGCGCTACATTACTGGAGGTGACATTTTCCTATCTCTCTATGTTGTAACAAGCCTGCTGCCTGCATAGTTAATGGATTTTTTATTTAAATTTATCGTTGCTTAGTGCTTTGTTGCAATTGTTCACCCAAGATTCCTATATATAATCTGAGCGTATGTAGGCATACTTAGCTTTGCTATTCCATTTTTTCTGGCGCATAGAAATAAGAGTATTGTCCAGGTTAGGTATTCAATTGAGTATGGTATTTGGATTGCTATCAGAATGTCTTTTCTATGCATGTGATTTCTCACATCTGGTTATAATATTTGTGAAGACGTGCATTTCACGTGCACTTGGAAGCGGGCCCGTGGCCCGCGCTGGACAGCGCCGACGCCGACCCGAGCCACCTCGTCCGCGTATTCTTGGAGCTGTGGCTGGTCGATTTACATGAAATTAATTCCCTCAGTTCTGGTGGCAAATATAATACACATAATCCATATTGTTATGCACTAGCGTGTATATGTGAAATAGATGGATTATGATCCCGTACCCAATAAGATGGATATGTGTGTGTTAGAGAGAGGGAGAGGGGGATAGAGAGTGAGGAAGAGGGAGGGAGAGTGTGTGTCTGTGTGTGTGAAGATTTGATGGTAAAAAAGGTCGCCAATGTCGTAATATTAAACTCTTAAAGTTAATGTGGCCCCGTTGCAACGCACGGGCGTTCTTCTAGTTGGTGTAATTTCTTATGAAAAATTGTACTGTTGACAGAAAAATGATTGTTTTTCTTTCACACATAGAGCCTAATTTTGAATTGCACAGGGCCTCTCATTTCCCTGGTACGACCCTGCTTGGAGGCTAGATGCTGACAAGAGAGGTAATTCCTATTTTTTATACCACATTGGCATTTGCATTTTGATGGAAATGATATGGAGCAGCTTACACTTGTTCAGTTCAATCTCCATGATGCAAATTTGGAGATTCATTTTCAGTCGTTCATGTTGTGTAGTAGTGTTTGCAAAAACCATGTGTTGAAAATTGACCAAATCTTCCATGCCAAATTTAGAAATTAAAGGTCATGGCAACCTCAAATGTATAGTCTACGACAATGTTTGAAAGTTTTTTCACATGGTAAAATTCTAGATAATTATTTCCATGGCAATTTGTGTGAATTTTTAAATTTATTCCATAGCAATTTTGTTTGAATTGTTCCTATGGCAATATGTATGATTGTTTTGAATATTCCCACGACAATTTTGTACGAACATTCAATATGTTCCCATGTCTAATTGGATGATTGTTTTGTAATCTTCCCATGGCAATATGTAGATAACTATCATGGCATGATAATTTTTAGCTCATGTATTTGTTAGTGCCAAACTTACAGCTATTTTTACATGGTGTAGTTTATCTTCAACTTTTTTTTATAAACATATCATGCATTTTCCTAGGTTTCATCTATTTATTTATAAGTTGCCATGTTTTTTGTTGATATTTTGTTAAAGTATGTATCCCTCAATTTCATAAAAGTTTTGTCATGTTATCTACAAACATGGCATTTTTTGTATATGTTAGTATTGTTCCATGTCAAATTTAATATAAAATGTTCTAATTTATATATTGACATGACAATTTTGTTAAGTTGACATGGCAAAATTAAGAAACTTTTGTTTTTCTCAAACATGTCATATTTTAGAGAGAATTGTAATGGTTATGTGGCTATTTTAGAAAAATTATTTTTGTAATTGATGGCAACTTTGGGCAATGTTTGCCATTCACAAGACAGTGGACAAGGGCAAATACTAACATTAGATCATGGTAAATCCACTAGTCTTAGCATGGCAAATTTATTAAAACCAACATCGCAAGTTTTTCAAATAATTACCATGGAAACTTGATTATAATCACAATGCCAAATAAGTACATTATCTCATGGTCAATCCATTTGTCTTGGAATGGAAAATTCATTGTAATCAGCATGATTTTTCTTACTATTATGGTAATTTATCTATATATTATTTTTTGTTATGAAAAAATAAAATATAGAGCATTTGCCATTATGTTAATAAGAGCTCATCCATTTTATTTTACTTGCATGGCCTTTTATTGTTTCAAGCATGGCATTTTTCTTTGTTTGTTTACATTTCGATTTTACATCAATATCATCGAAAACTACATAGAAACTTGTTTTTGGTCATGGCAACTTAAATTTATAAAATTACGGAAAAATTTACATTTTGTTTTTTCTGTATGATTTTTAGTGTACCGTGAAATACTTCTGTGCTTTTCAATTTCACATATATTTTTCCCACATTTCAATTTTACTTTTAGTTTGTAGTGGAGCATGGCATATTTTTTAAAGTCAGCATAGAAATTCTTTGAAAAATTACCATGGAAACTTCATTATAATCTCAATGGAAAATAAGTATACTATATCATGGTCAATCCATTTGTCTTTGCATGGAAAATTCATTGTAAGCAGCATTACTATTTGTTTACTATCATGACAATTTATTTCATTGCAATAGCTAGCAATTTTATCACTTTGATTGTGCCAATTTTTCTGTATTTCCTTTTTGTTATGACAAAAGAAAGTGTAGAGATGGCCATTTTGTTAATCATAGCATGGCAATTTCATTTTTACTTGCATCATAATTTTATTGTTCGATCATGGCATTTTTCTTTGCTCTGTTCATATTTTTTTTTTGCACAATTATCATCAAAACTAATAACTTGTTCACATGTCAAACCTAATTTTTGTTGCCATGAGAACTTAAATATAAAATCATGGCAACTTAAAAAACATAATACTGTTTCTATATGTTTTAAGTGTACTATGGCAATGTCATGCGTTTTTTTATTTCACAAGCTATTTTAATTTTCTTTTTTCTATTTGTAGGTGACTTTGGCAATGGTTTTGTTGGTTTCTTTTTTCAGCTTTTACTATGTCATATTTTGCCACCTAGGTTTTTTTGTGGTTGAGCTTTGCAATTTGTTGTAGGTGTTTTTTTAGTAGTTTACCATGGCATTTTCTTGTTGGTTGTTTGAGGTTTATTATGGCAACTTTTTTTATTTTTTTCATCGTTTTTCTTTGAATATTATGGCAAATTTATTTTGTAGTAGTTTATCATTTATGGAAAACATTGTTTTGGTAAATCTACTATGTTATGACTAAAAATAATTTCAAAATTCGCCATGCTGTACAGAAATGATTTTCCTTGGCAAAAAAATATCAGACCCTGGCAATTTTTTTCTTATCCATCAAAAATTGTTTTCTAGGTAGAAATTGTTGTTTATTTTTTCAAAGTTTTTTGCTAATTGAGCCTAGCACGTTTCCCCACGCGATCCCTATTTTTCTCGGCCAGCCCTTGCATCGCGCGTTTTTTGGTTGGATGGTACCCGCTGCAGAGAGCAAAAATTGTTTGCTCGATCGTTCATGCTGGGACGAACCAATCGTTGCTTGGACTCCTGGCCGAAGCTGGCGATTTCCACCTATCAACGTCCTAATTTATTCATTGCCAATTTATATTTCCAAATATTACCAAATACTCACTCCGTGACTTAATATAAATTGGTTAGTCTTGCAATTTCAACCTCATATATTTGTACAAATTCCTATAGTACAGTGGGAAAAATGGATGGTGCCGCAACGTGCACCATCCTTGTTTTGTAGTATCTTAGTATAATATAATAAACTTGGAATTGGTGCTAGAAATTACCTGAAGTGGCACTAACTTGTCTCTTAAAAAAAGAGGGAGAAAAGCAGGGAAATGTTTTTTAAGTAAAAAAGAAAGAAAGAGAAGATCAGAAGTATTGTTCCAAATTGAACTCGAAATTTGCGAGGAGGCTCTGTTCTTGGCAGGGCAGCGCGAACTTGTGCTCCGGCGGCTCGTCGTGCTGCCGCTCCATCTCCGCCTTTGCCCAGTGCAGCACCTCGCCGTCGAGCACGCTGCCCACCTCGCCGCCGTAGTTCCAGTTGCTGCTGTTGCTCGAGCTCTCCCCGTAGCCCAGGTTCTCCGACACGTCCAGCACGCAGCTGTAGTCCGCCGCGCCGAACCCTGTGTCGCCGTGCGCGCCGTCTTTGCAGTCGCCGAACTGGACGTACAGTGCGGTCGCGTTCGCGGCCCCGAGGTCGCCGGCGAACCCGCCGCCGTAGTCGGCGCACACCGGGAACGGGTCAAACTCCGGCGATTGCTTCGGAGCGAGGCTGCCGTCGGCCGCCGCGGCAAGGGGCTTACGGTCAACCGCTTCCGCGTCAGGCAATGCTGCGGTGGCCGCCGTGATCATGCCGGCGGCCATGGGCTTGTGCGTGGCGGGGTCGATGCCTTGCTTGCGGAGCTTCTTCTTGATGCAGCTGTTCCAGAAGTTCTTGATCTCGTTGTCCGTCCGGCCCGGCAGGTGCGACGCGATCTGAGACCACCTGCACGCACACACACATCAGTAATTCGGTATGTTGCCCCAAATCTTTCTGCTAGCTCCAATCAACCTCCGCGATGCAAAATTAATAAGAACTGGATGCATTGCGCGCGCGGACAGACCTGTTGCCTAGGATCTGGTGGAGCGCCACGATGTGGTCCTCCTCCTCCTGCGAGAAGGTGCCGCGCTTGAGGTCGGGGCGGAGGTAGTTGAGCCAGCGGAGGCGGCAGCTCTTGCCGCAGCGGTGCAGCCCGGCGAGCCTGGGGACGGAGCTCCAGCAGCCGACGCCGTACCGGAGGATGTGGCTGTAGAGCTTCTCGTCTTCCTCGGGCGACCACAGCCCCTTGCGGAGCTTGGGCTGTTGCATCTGCACGCCCCCAGACGTCGGACGTCCCATTGACGCCGGCTAATCTTCCTGGCAGCTGTTGGCGTCGTAGCTACTCCGACGAGCTTGGACGGATGTAACGGCGAGATCGGTAAGATGGAGCGACGGTTGCTCCCTTCCGATCGATGGCTGCCTGGTGGGTATATATGGTCGGGTATATATGGGGGGAAGCGTGCGTGGGAAGAACCGCAAGCTCACTGGGCGAGAGGGAGAGAGGGGGGAGGAGCTTGGTGAGAGAGTGAGGTGAGGTGAGGCAGCGCTCAAGTAGGCTCGAAGCAAGGAGCGCAGCGGCAAAGGAATGCAGTGGATTGGAGCTTACGACACCTGCGGTTTGTGGCACGCCGTGGGACAAAAGTAGTGTGCCGCCTCGCCAAGAGTCCAAGACTAGACCGATACCACTGTGCTGAGACGGTGTTGGTTGGCGACATGGGCTTCCCCGCACGAGAAAAGAAGGTCCGCTTTCGGCACCCATAGTCTCCACGCGCTGCTAATCAAGAGCAGCTTAACACGGCACTGCTAATCAAACCGCAACCGTAAGCCATGAATGCGGCCGGGGACCTGCGGATCCCAGCTCGTACGGAGCAATTAGAAATCGCGTCATGGCACCAGATCACGGTGTCGCGTGATTTAGTGATTATTTTTTTGCTTAATCATCTGTTGCTCAGCTCACTAATTGGTCAAGTCAAGTCACAAATCACGTCAAGCGTATGAATCAGCGGCCCTGCCGACCTGGACTTTCAATCAGGGGGCCAAACGGCGTCCCGTCTGCACGCTGTGTGCGTCCAAATGCAGACAGACATGAGCTCGGCTCGGCCGTGCAGTGCAAACTAATCACTCAAACCGAAGGACAGCGGCCGGCCGGCCGGCTAACCGGCGAGGGGTCGAGCTTGCTGCACAGTCGTTCCAGAAGGGGGGAGAACGATCAGTGAACCTAGCCAGGCACTGGTCATTTTGTTCTTCCGATGCTGAGGTATCAATCGATGGATCGTTTTCGTGTTTGCTTCGTGGGGGCCGTGACAACGGTGTCTTGGGGTGCGCCTACCAATTTCAATTTAGAGTTGTCACTATTTGTACCCGATTGAAAAAAAAAGAACACACTGTAAGATAGAAGTATCTATCATAGAGTACTATTCACTTATCTTCTGTTTACTTTGTACATCAGTTAAACGATAATAAATTTGGATGGAAAATTATAGATGCAACTAACATATCATAACCAATGTCCATATTTTTCATGTTTTTCAAGATCTTTGAAATGGCTTATGCGATATAAGTTGCGTGTGCAACTTGCGGCGATGCCCAGCTCCAAAAATGATGCCCCGAAGGAGGAAGATGACGCAAAAGCGCCGCAATCATCTAATAGCATGGATCTATTGTATGAAGACATCATCACAAAACCACTGCCAACATCCGTGTGGGACAAAAAATATTCGGGTTTGTCATTGGGTACTATTTTTTCTTTGATACAATTGTGCAGCGAATACGATTTTGTTCTCTCAATAAAATATTGATGACAATATCTCTTTTAACTAGCATGGGGATATTGTGTTCCTATGTCGAAAACTAAATATATTTCAAAAACTGTTCTTATATAGTTCAGACAAGCGACAAGTTGGATAGTCACGCCACATACCTCCATGCTCCTTGAGATCAGGGTGAGGTCAGAGATTATGTTCTGGATTACAATGCGAGATTCTAGCAAAAAGAAAAAGATTACAATCCGAGTAGCAGGACAAATTAAGGTACACATTTCTTTTTCTGAAGAAAAAAAACACATTTCTCTATCACATGGCAAAGGTACACGTTCGTGCTAAGAAAAGGCTGCACGGCAGTCCTATTGGGGGTCAGAAGATCTGCACGCCGACAACAGTGTCCGTGTACCTGTTCGTTTTTCACCCTCTCAAAAAGAGCACGTTCCTTTTTCCCGTTTGCCGGGACTCGTAAACGTGTTCACTTTTGCATCTTGCATGGCTAGAGGTTCATCGACCGCCGGTAGTGGTGTACTACTACAGCTGAATTAGTTTTGACTTTATGACAAACAATCACCGCGTAAATCGTGTCGACCGGCAGGTAGTTTTGCCGTCACATGCTAGCTAAAAGCGTCTACTGTTGAACATGGCAAATCCAGCCCCTTAATCACATGTGGACGCATCTGCAGACAATGATCGACCAGTCCTTAAATTTCATCGTCCATATCAACGTATCTCATATCCGAACACCTATGTCACGCTAAACCATGCAACGTTCGTACAAATGCACAATTCATTCACCAAAAAGG